GCCAGCACAGATGCCCAAACCCTGCAGCAGCTGAGGCAGTCTGAACACATTTGTGAGTGGGGATGGGGATGGAGAGGCCCATATGGTCCCCAACCACAACACAGAGGACTCCTTGCATGGATTCCCGCTTGGAGTGGGCAGGGATTCTCGTGGCTGGGTCTGTAAGGAGACCAATCTTGTAAATATGGGCTCTTTGGGGAAGCTCAGACGGCACAATCCAGCTTTACCCTGATTTTCCAGCCATCAGGTATTTGCAGGGCTTTCTCTTTTCATTTGCTCCATGTTTACAAGGTGTTGGATGCTCCCACCAACCTGGGGTTGCCCAGAAGGCCAAGCTCCCTCCTGGGTAAATCCTGCTGTGCTTTGTCATGTTTCTTCTGGGGGAAAAAAAAAGAAAAAAAGGGAATTAGAGTCGTGGTTTCCACTAAGCCTCTGCTGGGTCAAGGCTTCCTCCCTGCCTTCTGCTGTGGTGGCAGAAGCAATTCACAGACTCTCCCTCAGAGGGAGGGGGAAATCCCAGCTATAAAATCATCACAGTCATTAAAACTGCTGGTGATCAGCCTGCAAAAGGTGTTGTGAGGGTGTCAGCTGTGTTTAACAGCATCTGCAGGTGATTGATGGCTCTGCCCTGAGCCATCACCAGTGAAATTACCCCTCGAAATAAGCAGGTCTGAGCAGAAGGGGCTCATGTGGCGAAGCACAGGCTCTGCTGCACTGACCCGGTGTTAACCTGTGGTTCCTGCACTACCAATGAGCTGGAAAGCCAAGAGAGGGGGTTTCACAGAGCAGAAACCAAGTGTGTTATGCATTAACCCATTGCTGGAGTCTGGAGGCATCATCAAGGTCTGGTCCTGACTACCAGCAGTACCCGAAAGCTAATGTAGAATTGTAGCAGTTATCTTTAGATTGATTTTTTTTAAATTAATTTTTACAGTCATCACTGTGCTCCTCTAGAGCAATAAACTTATTTCTGGCAGGGGAGAATATTCTGCTTATTTCCCCCAAATTCACCCAGACTATTGCATGGATTGTAGCAACCTGGGCTAGTGGAAGGTGTCCCTGCCCATGGCAGGGGGTGGAATAAAATGAGATTTAAGGTCCCTTCCCACCCAAACTGTTCTGTGACTCCATGATTACCTTCAAAGATGGCATCTTGGGGGAATTCAGCAGCCAGGATTTCCCACTGAGCAAAACATCTGAAGCAGATCTTGCTAATGGAAATATTCAGTAACCACAACCTGAGCCTGGCTTTCTCGTAGGCTCAGAGCAATTTCCGCAGAACATCAGGAAAATATATGACATTTCTTGAGGCAGCAGAAGCCCCCTTATAAATCCAGGTTTTAACTGACTTGCAGACGTTTGCCAGCATTTCAGATTCGATTTTCCTGGTGAGCTGTGGTCACATTGCTAACAGTGATGCAGGGAAAGGAAAAGGAAATCAGGATACAGAACCAGGCAGATATTAATGCCACGAATATTCATTAGTGAATCAGAACAATGGCAAGGAAATGAGTCACAACCCTAATGCCCTGAGGAGCAGCCAGAACATAGATCAGAATCTTCAAGGACCAAATCTTTGACTTATAGATGAGTTTTTTTCCCCAGAAGTGTCCATATTAATAAATGGGTAAAATATGAGCAGCTCTGAGCTTGTTGTTATAATTGGGTTGAGAAGTGCACAGGAGCCAGGCAGGTGGTCAGACAACAGCCTTTCTATCCCTGGGAGCTGGTCCTAAAGCACCTCTGGAGTGCCCTGGCAAAGGGTTTTTCAAGCTGAGACAACGGGAAATGTTTCTGAGAGGGAGTGCTCCTCAACACACATGGGGAAACTGAGGCAGGCAGTAGGTGACTTTCCCAAAATTCCAACCTGAGTCAGCCCCCTCCCAGACTCATAAAACTGCAGCTGAGCTGCAATTGTTCAGTTGACTGCGGATGAACTGATGGTTCCTGAGTGGCAGCTCCTGCTGGGAGGCACAGGATGGTTGTCAGAGCCACTGCTGGAGAGACAGACTGAGAAAGGGGGGATGGATGACTCTTCCCAGGGTGTGTTTTATTCCCTGCTGCTGCCTGTTCCTGGACAACTCGCTGCTCCTGCATTTCAATGTAAAACATGGGGGGGGGTTAAATCACGGGAAAGGGGTTAAATTGACTGGCTCTGCTTTGTTTTCAGCAGAATAGACCAGATTTATTTTTAATTCACCTCTGCAATCATTATCTGCTTCTCAGCTGAGTTGCTAATGAATGTCAGGACCATCATTTTACTGATGGAGAAACTGAGGTTTGGGCAGTGACTGTGACATTCCCCAGGGCATGGGGAGGGAATATAGCGGGGATCTGAAATCCCTGGAGCTGGTTCCTGTGCTGCCGCCCCAAACCAGCCACAGGGAAATTGCACTCCATAGGTACAGAGTGACTGATTACTCTTGCACACTTCCCTGGGAATGGCTTTTCTGAAGTCTAATTAGCATGGAAAACCAATCCCAGAACCAAGGGAGAGAGGTAATGATCCATGTGGCAAAGCAGCACGAGAAGGGGACCCCCAGGCTGAGTGGTCAGGCAGAAACTCAGCACGTTTTGGACTGATTTAGTGAGGGACCTGGCTAAAAACACCAACCAGCAGTTGTGGATGCAGAAAACAGGAGTGTTTTTTTCAGAGAAAATTGCAGTAAAATATATTTCCCCAGATTGGAAACTGGAATCAGGGGTGCTTCAACAACGGTGGTCAGTTTTGCATGGACTGGGTTGGAGCCCTGGAGCTATTTACAGGGGCCTGGAAACACAGGACAGAGGGCAGGGTTAGATGGGATATTGGGAAGGAATTCTTCCCTGTGAGGGTTGGGAGGCCCTGGCACAGGTTTTCCAGAGAAGTTGTGGCTGACCCATCCCTGGAAGTGTCCAAGGCCAGGTTGGATGGGGCTTGGAGCAACCTGGGCTAGAGGAAGGTGTCCCTGCCTATGGCAGGGGGTGGAACTGGATGGTTTTTAAGATCCCTTCCAACCCAAACCATTTTACAATTCTGTATCTTACTTGTTTTGCTGGTGATGCTCATGGGATCATCCCAAAGAGAGCCGAGGGTTTGTTTTTTTCTCTTTCAGAAAACAAAAGGAGCTTGGAAATTGCAGAGTGACACGTTGCATTTACGAGATGCTCCTTTAGGTTGCAAATGCGGGTATCTGAAAGCCAGAAACTGAGATGTGAGAGCTGCTTATGCAACTGCAATTGTGCCAGGCGTGTGTCAGCCATCATTTCAGTCACAACGTGCCTTCCCCACAATGCTTCCACCTCACTTCATGCCCAGAGACGACTGGGGACAACCCAAACCTCAGGAGAACCACACAGTCTGCATCATCCCACATCTCCATGCTTGGCTGCAACCACAGAACGTTGATTTAGCACCATGCTCTCACTGCCAGAGCTAGAGGGACAGCCAGTGTGGGCCAGGACAGAGGTGCAAGGTGCTGCAGTGGTACCTCAGCACCACTCCCAGGCAGCAGAGCATGGGCTGGGCCGGGGAGCTGCTGCTCTGCTGACATACTTAAACCTGATCGGGAGGAGAAAAACACAACCAGATGCTGGGTGCTATTGCGTGACAGGACACCTGATACTGCAGGACCCACTGTTCCCTCTGCTCTGGGGACTGACATTTACCTCGTGACACCCCCACATCTCCACCCTGGGGGTTCTTGGAACAGCCCACGCTCTCCCAGAATGTTCATTAATTTATTCACCAGCTCTCCACCCCCTGGCTCCAGCTGCCCCGGGGCTGATGCTGCCTCTTGGAAACTGTATCCACACCTGGAGACAGGGCAAACCCAGGGCCTGGGGAAGCCAATTCACCACCCAACCAGGGACAGACTGGACCCCAGATAAAAGATCAAAACAGTGTGGTTTGGGGCAGTAAAAGGGGAGTAAAAGGCATTTAGGACCTCTCTGGAGCTGCCCACCTGAGGTTCCTGCTCAAAAGCAAGGATGGGTGTGCTGTGACCTTCCCTCTTCAAGGCCAGCCTGGATGGAGCTTGGAGAAACCTGGTCTAATGGAAGGTGTCCCTGCCCATGGCAGGGGGGTTGGAACTAAACTGTCTTTAAGCTTCCAATCCAAACCATTCCCTGATTCTCTTCCCCATCTTCTCTTCCTCATCTCTTCTGTCTCCTTTCCACACCAGCCCTCTGCTCAATCTGCTTCAGAGGAGGAAGATGTTCACTCATATTTGACATTTTGGTAGAAAATTAAAGAAATAGGATGAATCTGACAACGTCCATCCAGCTCCATCCCCACTGATAAAGGGGAAAACACCACAGAAGCACAGAATTGGTTAGGTTGGAAAAGCCCTCTGAGATCATGAGTCCAACCATTTCAAGGCCACCCGTGTCCCCAAGTGCCACATCCACAGGGCTGTGAAATCCCTCCAGGGATCAGACCCCCCCACTGCCCTGGGCAGCTGTGCCAGGGCTGGACAACCCTTTTGGCTAAGAAACTTTCCCTCACATCCAATCTAAACCTCCTCTGGCCTAAGTTGTCATTTGCTTTAAGTCAGGAATCTCCCAAACTGGCCAGTGAAGCCTGTGAACTGTGGGCCAAGGCAGGATAACCAGGTGGACAAAGCACTGATGTGACTTGGGACGGGTCTTCCAGTGGTCAGGAGACTTTTATTTGCAATAAACAGCAGAGTATGGCGAAATCCCAGATCCCTGATTTCATGCTGAGGCAAACAACGTGCCCAGGCTGCACATCTGTGTATGGATGACCAGGGTGAGGTGGCACCACTGTGAACACTTGTGCATTTATGCACAGAGAAGGTGCAGAGCTGTTGTTGTGATCCATTGGACAGGCAGATCCATTTTAAACAGACCCCCTGCTATATAAAGGGGGGCTCAGCAGTTCCCCTTGCCTCGTGAAAGGGAGAAATATTCACTGTCGAGCAACACCTGAGCAACTCACCAGGCAGAAAATGGCTCCAGGTACTTTTCATTTCTGTTTTCAGGGATTTGCCAGCGCTGCCATGCGTGTGGGGTGATGGGAGATGATGATGGGGTGGTACTGTGGTGGGACACACTCTGGGACAGCCCTAACTTAAAGTATGGCAACTTATAAACCAGGGACAAAGAATAACTTTCCCTGCAGTGTGACTTTAATCTGTGAACTGATCTTTAGCCTGAACAGGGCAAGGAGAACGTGGAGAACAAGGCCGAGCCACAGTTACAATCATTGGTATTAACATAAATGTTGTCAGGGATATTGAAATTTGTATCCCAAGCTTAAGACAAGGATCAGCATGATGCCTGAATTCTGGGGAGGGCTGAGCTCACCCTTGCTGCCAGCGAGGCACCGAGGAAGAGGACCCCTCAGCCATGGACAGAAGAGACTGGGAATGAACTCCCAGGTGCCACCCCCTCCTCAGCACGGTCCCCCAAGGCCTGCTAACCCTTTCTGCTTTGCTGCAGGGTCCTGGTTCTCTCCTCTGGCCATCGCTGTGATCGCTGTGGGGCTGCAGTGGGCACAGCCAGCTGCCACCTTCCCAGCCATGCCCCTGTCCAGCCTGTTTGCCAACGCTGTGCTGAGGGCTCAGCACCTTCACCTCCTGGCTGCTGAGACCTACAAGGAGTTCGTAAGTGCTGTGGCCTCCCCTGCCTTAGCTTGATGGCTTCAGGATGTGTGACAGGGATCTCTCAGCCATTGGTGTGCCCTCTCCCTGCTTCTCACGAGGCTGAAGGGTGTCAGCAGGATAGGACTGGACCCTGTTTCCCCCTCTCAGCTCTCTGCCCCTGCTCTGATCCTGCACACCCCCCTTTCCAGGGCCATGGTTGCACATGGCCCAGGAAAGAGCTGTCCTTAGGGGTCCTTTCCTCCTTGGGAGAACCCGGTGCAGGTGGTTTGTGTTCACCTCAGCACCTTGGCTTAGCGAGTGGAAGACCTTTAGGCCCAGCAGCTATTGTGCCAACACAATATTCCTGCTTCCCACCAGCCAACGCTGCCCAGAGGCACCTCATGTCTCACATCTACTTCTTGCCAGGAGCATCCATTCAGGTCAGATTGGGAAGGTTTTCCAGAGGACGTGGGCAACATGTCTGGGTGTATTTGGGCTGTCTCCACAGGAACGCACCTACATTCCAGAGGACCAAAGGCACACGACCAAGAATTCCCAGATAGCATTTTGTTACTCGGAAATGATCCCTGCTCCCATGAAGAAGGACGATGCCCAGCAGAAATCCGTAAGTCCTCACCCTCAGGGCAAGCACAGCCCTGTCTGAAGAGCCCAGCTGTGCTTCAGGGCAGGAACAGGGGGTTTCCACCTGTGCACACTTGGGTGCTTCGTCCCTCCCCTCCCAAGAAAGATATAACCTGGGTTACACTATAAGTCATTATCTCTTCCCAAGGATGAGAACAGCTGTTGTCTGCACGGCACACAGGTCTGGGTGGTGCTCCCCAGCCTGAAAACTCAGTGTCTGCTGAAGCTGCAGGAGTGGTGGCACATCCCTGGGTCACCTCCTGGCTGTTCCAGAGGCAGCAGGACACTCCACCAAATACCTCCCCCCACAGCTTTGAGCCTCTCGTGTCTTATTTTCAGGACATGGAGCTTCTCCGTTTCTCCCTGGTTCTCATCCAGTCCTGGCTGACCCCAGTGCAGTACCTGAGCAAGGTGTTCACAAACAACCTGGTTTTTGGCACCTCAGACAGAGTGTACGAAAAGCTAAAGGACCTGGAAGAAGGGATCCAAGCCCTGATGAGGGTAAGTCACAGCACGTAGCGTGATTATAGGATAACAGAGATCTATCTCCCAGACCCAGGGCACTCAGCTCTCGGGGATCCAAGGACCATGAGAAATCTCCCCACCTTCCACTCCGAAGGCCAGTGGTGTCCTGTGGACTTTGCTCACCTGTAGATAATGAGATCATGACACCCCCACTGCACAGACCAGATGTTAGCACCCATCACAGAGCAGAACTGATCAGGAATCACAACAGCCGACACCCAAAGTCCACCCAAACCCAGCAACAAAAAACTATTCAGTTGCTTAAATCCACTTACTAACAGCAACATAATGTTTGCTACATGTCCATGCAAAATACTCGGAAACGGGACAAATTTCCTTCCTCCCTGCAGCCTGTGCCCAGCTCTGTTCTCACTGTAGCATCCCCCCTGCGTCACTGCCCTTCCTGCAAACACATACACTCAAAAATACATTTGAAATACGCTTTAAGAGTGGGGGGAGAAACCCTGAGCTCATCTGAAGCTCAGGAGGAGCCTTTGGCACTGGGCCTGTGGAGGAGGATCAGAGAATCCCAGAATCACTGAGGCTGGAAAAGCCCTCCAAGATCACTGCGTTCCCCCTGTGCCCGATGCCCACCTTGTCCCCCAGCCCAGAGCACTGAGTGCCAAGGCCAGGCCTTCCTTGGACACCTCCAGGGGTGGGGACTCCAGACCTCCCTGGGCAGCCCCTGACAGTGTTTTTCTGCGAAGAAATTCCTCCTGATGTCCAACCTGATCCTCCCCTGGCACAGCTTCAGTGTCCTCTGGTCCTGCCTCTTATTCCCTGAGAGCAGAGCCCAAACCACACCTCTCCTGGCTCCCCTCCTGTCAGGGACTTGCAGAGCCAGAAGGTCCCCCCTGAGCCTCCTTTTCTCCAGGCTGAGCCCCCCAGCTCCCTCAGCTGCTCCTGCTTCTCCAGCCCCTTCCCTAGCTCTGTTCCCTTCTCTGGGCACACTCCACCCTTGTCATGAGGGTCCCAGAACTGCCCCCAGGGCTGGAGGTGCCTCAGCAGTGCCAGCACAGGGACAGGCACTGCCCCGGCCCTGCTGCCCCACCGTGGGTCACACCGGTGCCATTGGCCTCTTGGCCACCTGGGCTCGTGTCCACCAGCACCAGCCTGGAGCGTGGGGTTGTGGTGCCCCAGCAGCCCCCCCAGCCCCTGTCCATCCTCCCACAGGAGCTGGAGGACCGGAGCCCGCGGGGCCCGCAGATCCTCAGACCCACCTACGAGAAGTTCGACCTGCACGTGCGCAGCGAGGACGCGCTGCTGCTCAACTACGGCCTCCTGGGCTGCTTCAAGAAGGACCTGCACAGGGTGGAGACCTACCTGAAGGTCATGAAGTGCCGGCGCTACGGGGACGGGAACTGCACCGTTTGACACCGGGGATGGCTCCAACCCCGCTCCGGCCCCTCAGTGACCATGGCTGCCCCGCTCCTTGGAAAGAGACCTGGAGAATAAACCTGCTACCGCCAACGTGTCTCTGGGTTTTGGGGGGCACAGCCCGTTGTGGGGGGCTGGGAGGGATGAGCAGCCAATGGGGCAGGGTGGATTTGGGGCTAAGGGAGCCTATCTGGGGCTTGGGGAGGTGGGGAGCAGATTTAGTGGTAGATATGGGCTGGGGAGTAGGTTGGGACTGCGGGTAGATTTGAAGCTGGCAGGCAGATTTGGGAGTAGATTTGGGGATGGGGAGTAGATTTGGGTCTGAAAGGGGAGGATTTGAGGCTTAGGGGATGGTGATTTGGGCCAGGAGAGTGAATTTGGGTCTGAGGGGAGACGATTTGAGGCTAGGGGCTGGAGGGTGCATTTGGGTCTGAAGGGAGTGGATTTCAGGCCAGGGGGTGCAGATTTGGGGCTGGGGTGTGAACTTGGTGCTGGCGGTAAATTTGGCAGTAGATTGGGTAGAGATTTGGGACTGGGGGGTGGATTTCAGGTTTGTAGGGACAAGGTTGGAGCTAAGCATGTGGATTTGGGACTTGGGGGTAGACTTTGGCCGGAAAGAGCAGAGTGCAATAAAGAATAAAGTGTAAGAACGAGGATGGGCTTGTGCCACCAGTGTCAGGACAGGACTTTCCAAAGACATCTCTTGTATGGAAAAGGTGCTGGTGTTACCATGAATCAGCAAATAAGAAACTCCTCAGACTCAAGTTGTGAGCATTAGTGGGCAGGGATTCTTTTATTATGAGTACTGGACACATAGAAGGATCCTCCTCTAATCAAACCCCTGCCCAGAGTATTTGAGATCTCTTTGTTAAAAAAGGGTGATTGAGAATGGAGAGAGCTCAGGGACCCATCGCTGAAAGTGTTCCCTTCCAGGCTGGTTTTGCAGCCCCATGGGACAGTGGAAGGTGTCCTGGGCCGTGGCAGGGGATGGGATGGGCCAATCCTTCAGGCCCCTTCCAAGGCAGTCCATTGCGGGGTTCTGTGCTGTGGCCCGCAGCATCTCCCCGTAGAAAACGCTGCATCTTCCCACCTGGATTTCTCTCAAGTCATCATTCAGCCACTGCACTTTGCTTCACCTTCCTGCTTAATAAGCTCAGCCAGTAGCAGGCGATTTCTCTTGCAGCAAATTGCCCCATTCTTCTCTTCTTACTTAAAGAGGCAACATTCTCACTTCAAGAGGGATCTCACATCAGTCCTGGGGCTCTTCCCTGAGCTCTCTCAGTTTTCAATCCCCCTTGTTTAACAAAGAGAGCTCAAAAACTCTGGGCAGGGGTTTGTTATCAAATAAGCAGGGATGTAGACAGGGATAGGAAGCTGAATAGCCCTCCTGTAATCAAGGAGGAAACAGTCAATGGCCTGCTGAGCCACTTGGATCCTCCTAAGTCTATGGGACCAGATGGGATCCATCCTAGGGTGATGAGGGAGCTGGTGGAAGAGCTCGCCAAGCCGCTCTCCATCCTTTCCCAACATTCCTGGCTCTCTGGGGAGGTCCCGGTTGGCAAATGTCACTCCGATCCACAAAAAGGGCCGGGAGGAGGACTCGGGAAAGTCCAGGCCTGTCAGCCTGACCTCAGTGCCTGGCAAGGTTATGGAGCAGATCATCCTGAGTGCAATCACACAGCACCTACAGGATGGACAAGGGATCAGAGCCAGCCAGCACGGGTTTAGGAAGGGCAGGTCCTGTCTGACCAACCTGATCTCCTTTTATGATCTGGTGACCCACCTGGTGGATGAGGGGCAGGCTGTGGATGTGTCTATCTGGACTTCAGCAAAGCCTTGGACACCGTCTCCCACAGCACACTCCTGGAAAAGCTGCAGCCCATGGGCTTGGACAGGGCACTCTGTGCTGGGTTAGGAACTGGCTGGAGGGCCAGGCCCAGAGAGTGCTGGTGAACGGGGCTGCATCCAGTTGGGATCCAGTCACCAGTGGTGTCCCCCAGGGATCATTGTTGGGTTCAGTTCTGTTTAACGTCTTTTTTGATGATTTAGATGAGGGGATTGAGTCCACCATTAGTAAATTTGCAGATGACACCAAGCTGGGGGAGTGTCAATCAGCTGGAAGGCAGGAGGGCTCTGCAGAGGGACCTGGACAGGCTGGAGAGTTGGGCTGATTCCAATGGAATGAAGTTCAACAAGGCCAAGTGCCGGATCCTGCACTTTGGCCACAACAACCCCTGCAGCGCTACAGGCTGGGCACAGAGTGGCTGGAGAGCAGCCAGGCAGGAAGGGACCTGGGAGTTTGGAGTGACAGGAGGCTGAACATGAGCCAGAGTGTGCCCAGGGAGCCAAGAGGGCCGATGGATCCTGGCCTGAAACAGGAACAGTGTGGCAGCAGGACCAGGGAACTGATTCTGCCCCTGTACTCAGCACTGCTGAGGCCACCCCTGGAGTGCTGTGTCCAGCTCTGGGCCCCTCAGGTCAGGAAGGACATGGAGGGGCTGGAGCAGGTGCAGAGAAGAGCAACCAGGCTGGGGAAGGGACTGGAGCACAAGTCCTATGAGGAGAGGCTGAGGGAGCTGGGGTTTTAGCCTGGAGAAGAGGAGGCTCAGGGGAGGCCTCATCACTCCCTAAAACTCCCTGAAAGGAGGTTGTAGCCAGGTGGGGGTTGGTCTCTTCTTCCAGGCAACTATCAGTAAGACAAGAGGGCATGGTCTCAAGCTCTGCCAGGGGCGGTTTAGGCCTAGATATTAGGAAGAAATTGTTTACAGAGAGGGTAATCAGGCATTGGAATGGGCTGCCCAGGGAGGGGGTGGATCCTCCATCCCTGGAGGTATTTAAGAAGAGACTGGATGTGGCACTTAGTGCCATAGTCTAGTAACTGTGGTGGTAGTGGATCAAGGGTTGGACTGGATGATCTCAGAAGTCCTTTCCAACCCCACTTGATTCTATGATTCTAAGCATCCACCACCCCTGCCCCCAACCTCACCACTTGGTGTGCTTGATGCCCCTTCCCATTGCCTGTGCTGCCTCCAAGGTTCACTCCCCACACCCCACTGCAAAATTTGACTTCATTTAATGAAAAACCTGTTTGAAATGACAATCTTTGTTCTACATAATGACAGTGCCCCGACTGCTTCTAGTTGGGGTCCAACACGTGACAACACATTCTTACAGGACTTTGGCTCATTTCAAACCATGTGCACTCAGGGAAATGCTTTCTCCTGTGCCTGTGCAAAGCCGGGTCAGCCCCACAGCTCCTCCTGCTGCTGAGACATCTTCCCTCTCAGACTGTCTCCTGTGAGTCAGAGTGACTCGGAGCTGGACGTGGCTCTTGCAGGGGTGGCTCCTTCCTCTGCCTGTCCTGGGAATGTTGCTCACATCTGCTGTCCTGTCTAAACAACAGTCATGCAGCTGAGCTGGCTTCCAGACAGAGCAGGCCGACAGCAAAACAGTTTCTCTCCAAAACCAGCAGGTATTTGGGGGCTTACTTTGAGTAACAAAGGGTTTATTGCCCATTTCTTTCTCTGGTGGACATTTGGAGGAAAAGCAAACAGGGCCTTTCATGGCTCATCATCCAAACTGAGATCAGACAAAACTTCTTCTTCTTCGAGCTCAAACTGTTCTGAGGACAATTCACTGACCTGGGAAGAGAAATCAAGAGTAAATTTCTTTCTCAAGAACATACTTGCTCTTCCACACCATCTAGGGCTTTCCTGGGATTTTCACTCCCCCAGACTCCATGAAGAGCAGCCCTGGGCACTGTCACATGTCAGATCTGTCAGACTGCAGTGTCACAGCCCTGTGCTCAGTTTTCTCTCCCATCTACGTCCCATATGCCTTTCTGCACAAAGAGAGCCAAAACCATAGGAGTTTAAAAACCTTAGCCTGCTGCACAATTCCAAGATGCAGTCCCTTCCTAGGATTTGAGGGGAGGTCATGGCTGCATCCAAGGAGGCTGCTGGAGGCTGTCAAAGCTAACAGGTGAAACACACGGGTCCTATGGGAAATCTCAACATCCACCTGCTTTTACCTGAACAAGCCCCTTCAGTTCCTCTTCTGTTAAGGGGTCTGTGGGCTCCTCCTGGCAGGGATTGTACTCCACGGCCACTTTCCCATTTTCTGAAACACAGTGAGCAGCCAGAGCCGTGGTTAGTCACTGCTGTGTGGAACGACAATGAACCAACCCTGAACTTCAGACATGGGACAATTCTGCTTCACTCACGGCCAGGACAGCAACATGCAAAGGGTTACAGTTCAGCTCCTGTTCCCCCTGCCTCCCAGACCCATTCATCAGCATGCATGTGCAGAGGCAAAAAGCTCTCCCTAACACCATTTAGACTCTTGGAATGTGCTCTTTCAATGGCTTAGTTATCATAACAATATCCCTCCTCCTCTCAGATTTTCCCTTCACTCCCACAGCTCACAGGGACAACCTCCTGTCAAACCACTACAGACCACAGCACGAGTTTCATTTTGCTCCCTCCAGCCCCAAGAAAGGCTCAGAGCAAAAAGAATCCCTACCAACGGTCACAGAAGTTCTAATACCAGCCCAAATATTTCACACAAGCCCAGGCCTTACCCAAGACTACGAGGAGGATCTTCTGGAAGGCCCCAGACAGAGCTTTGCCCACCGCCAGCTTCTGAGCCCTTCTCGTGGCTGTGATGAGCTCGAGGGGATCTGAACACAAACAGCAGCCCGTGACTGACCTTGGCAGGGCACTGCACACCAAGCAGGCACTGCAGCTGTGCCCAGGACACACTCACGAGGCAGCTTCACAGCACCCTGGGCAAGAGGGACACAACGGGAGGCAGGAAAGGTGGGAAGCAGGGAGGGGAGAGGTTCAGGATCCCATCAGCTGTGCAACACCAGAACTGGCCAGTGTCTGCAACAGCTGCTGGGAGAGACTTGCACTGCCCCCAAAGCCCACCAAAGCCCACCTTGCCCATCTCCTACGGCTGCCTGGCCCAGGGCAACTCCCCTGCTGCGCACCCCATGCTGCGGCAGCGTCACCTCCAGAGCACACAGGAACTTCACCCATCCCTGCTGGCAGCTCTGCCCCAGCTCCTCTTTCTCACCATCCAAGCCACACACCTTCTGCAGCTGTTGGGAAGAGCACAGAGAATTACTTTTGGTTAAAGACAAAGGGGATAGGAAGGCTTTGCGCACTGAGGCCCGTGCCTGCGAGCCACACACCTTCTGTGCACAGCCTGGGACTGGGGGTGGAGAAGCCAGGGGTGGAGACAGAGCAGGGGGATTTGCTGGTTTGATCACTAGTTTAGAAATGCCTCAGAGGCCCCATCCTCTGCGAGTCTCGGCCACCTCTCTCTTGGCACACAAAGAGCACTGTCAGGCTCTGTGCTGATTTCATCACAACCTCCCCCATTTTTACTAACAGAAACCAAGCCAGTGCCCTCACCCATCAAAATCTGCTCCCCCCAGGCTCTCAAGCCCCCCATCCATGGCCCAAAACACAGCTCTCGTAGCTGACTACGATTTGCTGAGTGGAGGACAACTCTTTTCATTCCATCAACCCCGCCAGGGAAGAGGAGGACAAGGGGAAGGCCAATGGATGAACACAAAGGGCCCCTCACCGTGATGATGCGACTGGACCAGCCGTTAAAGCCCAGGTAGTGGTTGGCCAACTCCTGGCACTTGTTGCTGCTGAGGGCAGGGGCTTGCTGCTGAACCCCCTTCTGCTTGGGGCAAACACAAACCTGCCCAGGAGAGAAGAACCCTGCTTAGCCAGGCCCTGCTTGTGAGGCTCCCACTCCAGCCACACCACTGACAGCTCCGGCAGAGTCACCCTCAGATAACCTCAGCTAACACAGGAAAGCATCCAGGTGGGTTTGGAGTGTCTCCAGACAGGGAGACTCCAGGCCCTTCCTGGGCAGCTGTTCCTGTGCTCTGCCACCCTCCATGGAAAGAAGATCTTCCTCATGGTGAGGGGGAACTTGTTCTGTTTCAGTTTATGGCCATTGCTCCTCATCCTGTCACTGGCACCACTGAACAGGGTCTGGCACCATCCTCTGGCACCCACCTTGGTGACATTCCTGTGGATTGAGGAGATCCCCTCTCAGTCCTCTCCTCTCCAGACTAATCAAGCCCAGCTCCCCTAGTGTCTCCTCCTCAGAGAGATGCTCCAGTCCCTGAATCATCCTTGTGGCCTGTGCTGGCCCCCCTCCCCGTGCTGATGTGATTCCATCCCGCTGGGGAGGCCACAGAGGCTGAATTCTGCACGTTTCCCACCTGGGGCTGTTCCCTTACCTTCAAGGGGCATTTCTGAAACAGCCTTTGCCCGTTGCAGGCGCGCTGGGCCCTGCTGGCATCCCTGGCTGAGTAGAACTTGATGACTCCGTAGTATCCCGGCCCTGCCACGGCGGCGTTGCCGCGCGCCCGCACCGAGTACAGCGGCCCAAACCTGGAGAACGCGGAGTACAGCAAGTGCTGAGGGAAAACAGAGGGCAAAAAGGGGGTTGATACACCTGAAAGAGGCTGAACAACTGCCACAGACAGAGGACAACTCGCAGGACCTATTTCCCTCGAAAACGAGGGAAGGTGTTAGCAACGCTGGATGGCAGCAAGAAGCTCTGCAATAAGCAGCAGCCTGAAGGGGAGGGCATCAACATCCAACTGAGCTCGCCCTGGCCCCACCTCGGACCAGGACGACCTCTCCTCTCCTTTATCATCCAGCTTCTGTGCTGGGGAGAGCCAAGCCATAGTGGGATTTCATGCTCAGCCCAGCCTGCCCCCTGCTCTCTGCCCTCCCTCGTGTGCTTTCAGCCTCCAGGAAAAGCCGGGCGCATGAACCGGCTTTGGTCCCGGCTCTCCCACCCTGCCTGGACAACTCGGGGCCGCTGCGCTGCTCAGACCCCAAAAGCAAATTATGAGCAGGTTTGGGGCACGCTGGGAAAGCCCCCAGCGCAGATGGGGCACAGCTCCGGGGGGAAAGAGGGACCCAGGCAGGGAAGGGGGACCCCGGGGGTGCCCAACCCCGGCCCCAGCCCCGAGAAGGGATCCCGGGGAAGGATCTCGCCTCACCTCCAGCCCCGCCTGCGGCTCCAGCCCCCAGACCAGCAGTGTGTGGGCACTGCCCGCGGGCACCCGGAATTCCAGCACCTCCGCCATGGCCGGGCCAGGACCAGCCCCTTCCTCCGCCCCGGCCCGGGACCAGCCCCTTCCTCCGCCCCGGCCCGGGACCAGCCCCTTCCTCCGCCCCGGTGGGCCCGGACCGGCTCAGCACGGCCCCGACCCGCTCGACCCGCCCCGAATGCTCTGCCCGCGCCCAAATCCGCCCCTGCCAGCCCCGAACCTACTGCCACTGCCGCAAATCCACTCCACCACTCCCAAATCCGCCCCTGCCAGCCCCAAATCCGCCCCTGCCAGCCCCAAATCCAGCCCCCGCCAGCCCCAAATCCGCTCTCCCAGTCCCAAAGCCCTGCAGATCCAACGGACCTAACCTTGTCTCTTCTGAAGACCACAACACAACTTTAAATTTATCTTTTTTTTTTTTTTTTACAATTTTCAATTGTGAAACAGTATTTACATTTAAAAATTCTCATTTACAGTTCTCACAATTCTTTTTATTTTTCTAGTAGCAAAAGTCCCTTCCTTTCATAGGATCATAGAATCATAGAATTAACTGGGTTGGAAGAGACCTTTGAGATCATCAAGTCCAACCCTTGATCCAACCCCACTGTGATTACCAGATCATGGCACTCAATGCCACATCCAGCCTCATCTTAAAAACCTCCAGGGACGGTGAATCCACCACCTCTCTGGGCAGACCATTCCAATGCCTGATCACTCTTTCTGTAAGGAACTTCTTTCTAATATCCAACCTAAACCTCTCCTTGACAGAGCTTAAGCCCGTGCCCTCTTGTCCTGCTGCTGATTGCCTGACCCCCACCTGGCTACAACCTCCTTTCCATGCACATGTAAGTCTGTGCCAGCAGCCACCTTTTGGAGAGCCTGTCCTCCCCAATTTCCTGCTTTCCCCTGCCTCTGGAATGCCCTGGATTTCCAGAGCTCTCCTGTTACTGCTGCAGTTCCCTGCTAAAGACAGGACTCTTTGCATGTGGTCCTCCTGGAAGCAAATGGAACAGTGTGCCCCGAGTTCCCACAAAAAAACATTCTTTGGAAAAGGAAAAAAGTTGTCCTGCTGATATGACTGTGCCAGTAAAACAGGCCACAGGTGATGTCCTCCTTTTATGAACAGAACGGAGCAAATCTTTGGGAACAACCGAGAGTTCCCCTTATTGTGGGGAAGTCTTCCAAATTCTATTGCTGTGTTTACCATCCTCTTAGCCAGTATAAGTGGAAGTGTAGAAAAACGTGCTTTCATAAATCTTGATTTTAGAAATAGACCCAGAATTACCAAATCTCGATTTTAGACATAGACTGCGCTCCCACCATTACAGGCCAGTGCTGGTCCCCAGGAAGCTCACGCACATGCAAAAAGCAAAGTGGTCTTTCAGTGGCATAGCCCTTGTGGAGAAGCTGCTCTTGGTGTGCTGCTTCAAGTTTACACCACAACAACCCATTCCAAGAGCTGCAAACATCCCACAGCTGGAGGACGAGTGTGCCTGTCCATGCAGCTCTCATGGATCCCCCTTCTGGAAGTGACTCCAGTGCTCAGAGCAGCAGCCCAGAGTGACCAAGTCCTTGTGTGGGGGTTTCCCACTTGATCTTTTCAAAGACTTGAGCAACTGTGCAGTCAATGTTTCCTCTCTCTGCCAGGTTCAGTTCAGGCCTCAAATCACCCTGAAATGTTCCCAAAGCAACGGCAGCAGATGGGCTGTTCCCCTTGGAGACCTGTCCTGGCTGTGATCCCTGCACACGTAACGAGGGACCCCAAAGCCCCGCACACCTTAGGGGGGACCCCAGCCCCCTGCATGCCCTGGGACAGACCCCAAGCCCCTGCTCGCCTTACGGGTGTCCCCAGGGCCTGCAGGCCTTGGGAGGAAACCCAAACCCTGCCGTGTGCCCCTGTCAGTGTAGATGGAATCTGCCCCGGGAATGTGAACCCTGATGCTTTGGCTCCTGCTGCTCCAGAGATGCCGGGGGAACACAGCCAGTGCGGGGTGTGTGGAGAAGGGAGGCTCCCAAGGCAGTGTCCCAGGGTCCCTGTGGGTGCCCCAAATGTTCAGGGCACTGCCCTGGGCGGCCCCAGGAGCCCCTCTGGCAGCCACACTGGCCCCAGCGGGGCTGGGCCCTGGGCAGCCCCACACACAGTCCGAGCAGGGTCCCTCCCCAGCCCCAGCCCAGGGTTCCCCAGCACAGGCTCAGAGCTCGGCATCCTCCAGACACTTTTATTGCCTTGCAACAACAAAGCAGGTGTGAGGAGATATGGAATAGAGAAAGAGAAAGATACGAGAAATGGAGAGCTGTCTATGCCAAATATTAGAAGGACCTGTTGTGGACAAATGGACTTGGCATACTTGGACATGTTTGGACAGTTTAAAATGGTGTTTGGTGGTTTATTCTAGTTATATTAGTTATATTATATAGGAATATGTTATTCCCCTCATGAGTTTGCTGTTCCCCGATTGGTCGTGATTTCCCCTTCTGTGATAGGTTAAAATTTGCCGCAGTATGGGCGGTACAGTTAACGCTGTCAGTTCATTTGGTTGGTTGGTGATTGCGTCACGCGTTTTGTAATTTCCCTATTGGTTGTACCCTCACGTCAATCCTGAAACTCCTCCCAAGTTCTAGTCCCTTCCACCCCGGACCCTATAAAAGGCCTGTCCTCCCCTCAGTGAGGGGATAACACCCTTCACTCCACTTACCACCAATAAAGCCTACAACAGAGTGAAGAACCCCTGTGTTGTCCGTGCCTCGTCCTTCACCCAGGCTTCGACATATGGCGCCCAGCCATGAGGCTCTGTTGTAGGTTCCTCATATTGAGGAAACTCCGGAGTGCTCCTCTGGGATACAGGAGACACAGGAGGTGTGTTGTCCCTGGCAGCCACACCCAGCTGGACCCGCAGGCAGCAAGTTGGCACTGCAATTTTCGCACCTCTTACTGCAGGCAGAAGAAGGTGAGCAGCTGGGGTAGTCCTAATTCCTTTCTGCGTTTCCAATCCCCCGTAATACAAAATACAAGAATGGGAGCTAGCCCTTCAAGAGAGCAACTTAAAATGTATGAAGACTTGAAGGCTTTAATCAGAAGAAATTACTATCCTTTAGACAAAAGCTCCCTGAAAGCTTTAATTAAATGGATTTATAAGAATATAGATCCTGTTCCTGAAATTCTAACATACTTGGAATGGGCAAAAATTGGATCGGCACTTGCAATTGCTATTTTCGCTGGAGACAGTCACGCGGTAAAAACTTTAAAAGCGTGGAGAACAGTCTTCATAATATTTAAGGACACTGTAAAACCAAAACCATTGCCAGAACAAAATTCAAAAACAACTATTAAACAATACCAAAGCCAGAAAAATGAAAGTGACTGTTCTCAAAATACTAATGTCAACAAGGATAGCAATTTGCAAAATTAAGGCGAGATTTCTGCCGCATGTAATCAGCCTCAAAATGGCGGCAGTCCCTCAGAAAAAATTCGCGCGGCACAACGCCTTAACATGGCGGGCAGCGATGAGGAATGCATGCAAAATGGCGACGACGGAAGCGGTGCGTCATACCAGGGGCAGGAAAATTTTCGCGGGCTGAAGGAAGGCAGTGGGAGTGGCGCGAGAAATCAAGCGCGGGAAGCTGTGTACCCACCTATCTACACGTCACCTTATATGTCACCTTTCCCCTCCTCTGTGACTGATGTCACTGATACCACCCTGGAAGTCCCTCAACTTCAAAATGGCGGCTACTATAACACTTCCGCCATCCGTGCCTCGTCCTTCACCCGGGCTGCAACACAGGCGTGCCAGGGCTGGCAGGGATGTGGAGGCTTCTGAGGGCGATCGGGGCTCCAACGGCTCTGGCGTCTTGGAGGCTCTGAAGGCTCTGAGGGCTTCTGAGGGCTGTGGGGACTGTGGGGGCTGTGGGGCCGATGAAGCCTGTGAGGCCCAAGGGATTCAGTGGAGCCCATGGGGGTCCATGGGGCCTAGGGAGGTCTATGGGGCCTATGGGGTTCTATGGGGCCTACGGGGCCTTTGGGGGTATGGAGCGTATAGGGGTCTCGGAGACCTATGGGGGTCTCTGGGGCCTATCGGGGTATTTGGGGCCTGTGGAGCCCATGAGGTTCTGTGGGACATGGAGCCTATGGGGTATGGGGCCTCAGGGGGTCTATGGGGCCTGTGGGGTATTGGGCCTATGGGGATATATGGGGCTCATAGGACTTTGGGGAGTATGCCATCTATGGGGGTCTATGGGGCCTATGGGCTTATGGGGGTCTATTTGGCTTATGGGGATCTATGGGGTGTGTGGGGGTCTATGGGGCCTATGAAGCCTATGAGGCCTGGGGGGGGGGTCTATGGAGACCATGGGGATCCATGAAGCCTAGGGAGGTCTGTGGGGCCTGTGGGGCTCTATGGAGCCTATATGGGGGCCTAGAGGGCCTAGACCCCATGGGGCCTATGGGGTTCCATGGGGCATAAGGGGTCTATGGGGCCTATGAGGGTATGGGGTTCTATTGGGCCTATGGGGGTCTATGGGACTTAAGGGGGTCTATGGGGCTTATTAGGGTCTCTGGGGTCTATGGAGCCCATGGGACCTATGGGAGTGTATGGGGCCTATGGGATTATGGGGCCTGTGGGGGTCTATGGGGTCTATAGAGCCCATGGGGACTATCGGGGTATGGGGCTTAAGAGGGTCTATGGAGCCTATGGAGTGATGAGGCCTCTGGGGGTCTATGTGGTCTATGGGGTATGGAGCCTGTGGGGGCCTATAGGTGTCTATGGGGCTTATGGAACCTTTAGGGCTGTTGGGCCTGTGGGGGTCTGTGGGGCATGTGAGGGGTCTATGGGGCATGTGGGAGCCTATGGGGCCGATGGGTGTCAATGAGGCCAATGGGGGGCTATGGGATATGGGGCCTAAAGGGGTCTATGGGACCTATAGAGTATTGGGCCTATGGGGGTCTATGGAGCTTAAGGGACCTTTGGGAGTATGGGGCCTATGAGGCGTCTATTGGGCCTATGGGGGTCTATTGGGCCTACGGGGCATCTATGGGGCTCTGTGGTGTCACGGTTTTG